AAGTAAATAAACAAAATAATGAATAATAAAAAGAATGCAAGCAACCATGATTAGCAAACAAACAGACTAACAGCACTGTGCCTTAGGTGGGGCGACTGCTGCAACCCACGCTCGTGCTCATCGATAACGCCGACAAAATGTTCCTGAAGAAAGTAAGTGAGCTCTCTTCTCTCTTTTGTGTTCTTGCATGTTTGTAATTGCAAATTTTAGTCACCGTCGTTGCTTTAAAATTTCATAGGAGAGCATCCATCTCAAAAGTTTCCACAATTTATTGGTAAACATGTTGACATGTACTAATGTTCCAAATCGGTGGTCTAAGTTAGCGTGGGCAACTTATATATATATATATATATATATATATATATATATATATATATATATATATATATATATATATATATATATATATATATATATATATAAAGAGAGAGAGAGAGAGAGAGAGAGAGAGAGAGAGAGAGAGAGAGAGAGAGAGAGAGAGAGAGAGAGAGAGAGAGAGAGAGAGAGAGAGAGAGAGAGAGACAGAGACAGAGAGAGAGACAGAGAGACAGAATGAGAGACAGAGAGAGAGAGAGACAGAGAGAGAGATTGTGGGGTCATTACTGGGATCCTGGGATCCATGAGTGCGTAATATATGTGTTTACAAATGAAATCGAGAGAGAGAGAGAGAGAGAGAGAGAGAGGGAGGGAGGAGAGAGAGAGAGAGAGAGAGAGAGAGAGAGAGAGAGAGAGAGAGAGAGAGAGAGAGAGGAGAGAGAGAGAGAGAGAGAGAGAGAGAGAGAGAGAGAGAGAGAGAGATCGTCCCTGCTGAGGTGGCGGTAACTTTTCCATGATAAAGAGCAAATCCGATATTGTGGAACCTTGGATGTGTTTTAGCACAATGCCAACCTTTTGCAATTCAGTTTAAGTCAGTGATCAGAAATTCATCCAGTCACAATATTCATAGTTTAAAGTAGTATGTGCAGGTTGTTCCAATATAGGTATATCATAATATACTTAACATACACCCGCACATGCATACACACACAAAAAAACAGTAGTTTCAGTATTCCGCCAGGTTATTGCGTAAATTAACAACATCCATGGAGTAGTAAATAGCATATAGCCTTTTCTTCATCTCCTCACCCCCCCCCCCCACCGGCCTACCAACCTACCCGACCTTTCTCTCCCTGCCTCCCCCTCCCCCACTCTGCCTGTCTCTCGGGGTCCAGATTACCGAAAAGACTAACATAGTTTCTTACAGGTGCCGAAGACGGACAAGTCAGACCCGCGGCGCCTGAGGAAGGAGATGCCGCGTATGCTGAAGAACATCGGACCCGAAGACAGGATTGTTGTTGTAGGAACCACCAATGCCCCTTGGAACTGTGACGTCAAGGTATATATATGATGTGTCCCTAAGCTTTTCCCAAAAAGTGTTGTTACTTTTATGTCCTTGCTGGAAAAGTATACCTGTATTGTTGGATAACGGTTTCGTTCTCAACTTAAAATGAAAAAAAAAAGTTTCATATATTACTTCAGTGTAATTATGCGGGTATGTACTATAATAGTAATATTCTGTGTTATAAAAGTACATATTCAGCGAAATATGCCCATGCCACTTAAAAATACCTCAAGTTCGGAATAATGATCAGGTAAAAACGTGTCCCTTCTTTTTCAGTCCATGTCGTCGGTTTACCAAAAGATGCTGATGGTGTATCGGCCGACGTATGGCGACCGAGCGAATCTCTGGAGGCATCTCATAACGAAGAACGGAGCACAGGTGGGGCAGAGAGAGAGAGAGAGAGAGAGAGAGAGAGAGAGAGAGAGAGAGAGAGAGAGAGAGAGAGAGAGAGAGAGAGAGAGAGAGAGAGAGAGAGAGAGGGGGGGGGGGGGAGTGAGAGAGAGGGGGAGAGAGAGAGAGAGAGAGGGGAGAGAGAGAGAGAGAGAGGGGAGAGAGAGAGAGAGAGAGAGAGAGAGAGAGAGAGAGAGAGAGAGAGAGAGAGAGAGAGAGAGAGAGAGAGAGAGAGAGAGAGAGAGAGAGAGAGAGAGAGAGAGAGAGATAATAATAACTATATTGATGAGTGAATAATAATAATGATACCAGTATTGATAAGTGAAAAAGGATACTGATAATATAAATCACCATAATCATGGCGATAATAATCGTAATAAAAATGTTACTAACACAACAATAACAACAATGATAATGAAATAAATCATATCGATAGTACTATTACGCTGTTGATGAAAACTAACAAATTTAGCGATATTATCAGCAATGATAATACTAACAATACTGCAATGGTTCCCTCATCAGCTGTCTCCTCGGATGGACATCGGAGGTCTTGCCCGGATAACCGACGGCTTCACTACTGGTCATATTTGCAGCGTCGTGAGTCAGGTAAGTGGGGGTGAAGCAGAGGGATGATGAATATAATTTTCCCGGAGTTTTCAAGACCTTGGCTCAAAATATTTAGAAAAACATGAGAAAGTCAGTTTCGGTTTCGTTTTTTTTTATGAGAGGGTAAAGGGTTTTTTATTCGTTGGATTTGTGTATCTATTCGTATTGTTTAAAGGGATGATAAGTATAGTTTTCGCAAAAGGTTTCAAGACGAAAAAATGTATGAATGAATCAATGTCGGTCTCGTTTGTTTTTATGAAGAAGTGAGAGAAAATCGTTTCTGTCTATTTATCTTTTGATGCTTTTGTGACATTAATTTAACATACATTCACACATGTAACAGGTAGTCACAGAACAGCGTCTCGCCAAGCAAGATAAATCACCACTGACAGCGGTTGAATTCGTGGTGCCCTTGAGCAAGATAGAACCCATCTACAAGTAAGTCCGTGTACAAGAGTGTATGTGTGCTTGCTGATATGTGTGTGTGTGTGTGTGTGTGTGTGTGTGTGTGTGTGTGTGTGTGTGTGTGTGTGTGTGTGTGTGTGTGTGTGTGTGTGTGCGTATATTTATATACATATATACACACATACATGCATACATACATACATACATACATACATACATACATACATACATACATACATACATACATACATACATACATACATACATACATTCATTCATACATACATACATATATATATGTATAAATATATGTATATATATATACATTTTATATATATATATATATATATATATATATATATATATATATATATATATATATAGAGAGAGAGAGAGAGAGAGAGAGAGAGAGAGAGAGAGAGAGAGAGAGAGAGAGAGAGAGAGGTAGAAAGACGAGAGACGAGAAACAAAAACTCACAAGACAGTCTAAAGAGAGAGAGAGAGAAAAAAAAAACTATAACTAAGAAACAGATAGAAAGACGAACTAAAAAAAACCCCTCACAACCCACGTACTTTCAGGGAGGAAGAGGAAGCGATGCGGGCGTGGTTCCAGAAGACGCCCATCATGAAGAAGAGAGGCAAGAGTCTGGAGGAGGAGCTGGAGGCGATGGGCCTGAAGGGGAAGGGCGGCAAAAAGAACGAACCCAAAAAGAAGTCGAAGGGAAAGAAAGGAAAGAAGAAGAAGAAATAGAGTGATAATGATGGAGTGAAAAAAGCTTCAAAGGAAGTCCATTATTGATATTGGTATTAAGGTTACTTATACGAATCATAAAAAAAATTCTGGGCTTATGTACCGAGATGGTATCATACCCATGTCTTCCAGGAAATTATGCCAGCTTGGTATACAACTATACACAAGCATCATACAATAAAATACGAAAAAAAAATATTATTTGAAAAAAAGACACGACGTTCTTTGTTGTTTGTTTGTTTGTATTTATTGATTAATAACATAACACAAGGCGTCCCTTAGTCAAGACAATTGTTACAACACACTTTAGGCGCCTTCCTTAACACTAAGACATGACTCTTTCATTCTGTACCCTCGTCTGGTCGCTTGAGTCTCCCGTGCGACGATGGGTATATAACAAAGGCTTTCATTAATCTCACATAACGTTCCTATAAATACTGACTTTGTAAAGTTAATGATTGGGTAAATGTGAAGCAGACTCTTGCTGTACATTCTTTGATACTCTTTTGTATGTTGATATTATTAAGTACAATATATTACACTGCCTATTGTGTGTTTAGGGAAAGAGCGTACTGAAGGAGTGAGTATTATTAACCTTACTCTTATGGTAATATCGGATTAACCTACATTAGTACATTGGTTTTAAAAGAGAAGTTAATTTATTATGCCGATTCAGCATTACTATATGCAGGCGTATTTAGTTACTGAAAGTGATTTCTGGGATTATCATTAACATCATTTTCTCGACTTGTTGGTATTAGTTTGAAACCCCGAGGTTAATTTTGAAGCAACAAGGAGAGAAGCGAGGGGAGTGAAAGAAAGGCAGGGCATTGGGAAGAGACGGAAAAGAAAGGAACGGAAAAAAATAGCCATGTACATTGCCTGAGTCAACGTAGAATAGAATGAGAGAGATTAGCTAAAAAAAGAAAATATTCACGAAAACAGAGTAATGGAATCGAGAGAAAGGGAGCAAAGGAATTCCCTTCTACACTGAATCTACAACACAGGTGTACAGTTGCTCAGTTCCAGTGAGGTTGTCGGGGAAATACTTTCTGTGTCTACACATCAGACTCATATTAATAAGCTTAATGGCAGTCAGATTCAGAAAGTAACACTTTGCACTGGAAATGGCCTTATCGATTCGTACCTATTATTATACAAGCTTCAATAAAACTGATGTTTACTTATTTATATAAAAAAGTTAAATGTTATTTTACCCGAAAAGCTAGAAGTTAACCATATTCCCTTCTTTAACCAAACGGATGGCAAGTGGGACAAACTGTGTAGAGACACAAGATCTTTTATTTTCGCGAAGGCCAACAAGAATGTATCATGATATTTTACAACATGACACAGGAATATGTATCTGCATGCTGATATGTTAATGGACGGACACTGAGTGCCACTTGAGTAAGAAGAAAAGGTCAAGTATGAGTGAAGAATTAGGGGGAAGTATTGATTAATTTCTTAGTTCTTTTGTGAATGACGAATTTCGCAGTCGAAATACAACTCAAGAGACTTGATATTTCGCGAAGACTAAGAATAATACAGAAATGGATATTCATTGTCATCGGATTGTTTTCCACCAAGTGTTTGAAATGATAACCGTAAATGTTGCCTAGATGTTGCTTGTGCAACCGCTGCACCAGGCTATTCCTCGAGCCATAAGTCCTCCGCTCGGGCCGCATCCTTGCTCTGCCGCGAGGACCTCCTATGCGTTCTGGACCGGCTGTCGGAGGGGCAGCTCGGGCTCCAGGGTCTCGGTCGGGTACGGGTCGGGGATAGGAGTCGGGGGGTAAGGGAGGTCGGGGGTGGCGACGCCGCCGGAGAAGCTGGCGGGGCGGATCTTGATCTCGGTGGCCTTGAGGGAGTAGTCGCCGAGCCACAGCTCCCAGATGATCCCGCGGTAGTAGTCGTTGTCCTTCGGGCTGGTGAAGTAATCGCCGTTCAGGTTGCTCTCGAAGCAGCTGGATTGCAAGAAAAACGTTTTTTTTTTCATTATTCATGGAAATGCCAATAAATACTATGCTAATACTGTGTTAATGTACAATGTTATAAATTCCTCTCTTCCTTTCTGAAAGGTTGGTGACATGAGAGCCAAGAAAAGGACCAAAATTTAGAAAATCAAAGAAAGCACACGAGTAAATAACACAAGAATTCCTTCCCGTCTTTATGAGAACCTCACTCATGAAAGCGACCACACACAAAAAGACAAAAAAAAAAAAGACAAAAGCAGTGCGCACCTGTAGAACCACCACCCTCCTCCGTATGCCGGGGCGCAGGGGCAGCAGTCGGGGGCCTCGTCGTTGTCTCTGTCCACGGTGGAGAAGAGGTAGCCGTTGTGGGCGGAGAAGCTGTCTGACGCGTTGCCTCGGTAGTCGAACACGCTGAGCCGGTAGTTGTCGCTCTCCGGGCCGATGCTAAGGGAACAAGTAGAGTAGGTGTTAGGTGCTCGGGAAGAGTATGTACATATCGCACATGTTTGAAAAATAACAATTCAGACTCTGACTTCTGAATACTGAAACTCTTACATATGAACACATTTTATCATATATATTTCATCTAGTGAGACATAAGTAAATTCCTCTTATTCTATTTTGAGTCGTTTTCATTACAAAAAACGCAACACCGCAGCTTTCTTACGAGAAACTCAGGTATTCAGCGTAGGCGTAGTTGCCCTCGAAGTCCCACAGGTCGAACCGGATGACAGTATCTTGGCTCCTCACCATCCTGACGACAGGGAACAGTGGTCAGTAACGCTTTAGAGAATTTCATGGACTATATTTCATTATTTCGATTAAGGAATGGTCAACTTGAGAAAAAAGAAGAAGAAGAGAAGAAAAAAGAGAAAAGTAAAAGAAAGAAAAAAAAGAAAATATATATGTACACACACACACACACACACACACACACACACACACACACACACACACACACACACACACACACACACACACACACACACACACACATGCGCACAAACGCACAAACGCACGCACATGTATATGTATATATACAACACACACACACAAACACACACACACACACACACACACACACACACACACACACACACACACACACACACACACACACACATATATATATATATATATATATATATACATACATACATATACATATATACATACACATATATAAAATAAACTTTAAATCACACCACACCAAGACCACCCAAACCTGCATCCTCACCTGTATATGTTGTCGTTCCCCCACCAGAATTCTTGCGAGAGGTCACCGAAGCCCAGTTTATAGTCCCTCCACGATTTGGTGAAGTTGTAGAAGGGTGGCCCGAACATGCCTCGTCGCTGGATCACCGTCCATCCTCCGCCGGCTGTCTCCTGGTCGCAGTACCTGGTTGGGAAAAAGTAAAAATAGATCGGTGGGTGGGGGGGGGGGGGAGGATGGATGGGTGGGTGGGTGGGTGGGTGGGTGGATCGGTGGGTGAGTGGGAGGGTGGGTGAGTAGGAGGGTGGGTGAGTGGGGGTGTGGGTGGGTGGGTGGGTGAGTGTGGGGGTGGGGGGTGAGTGGATGGATGTATGGGTGGATCGGTGGGTGAGTGGGTGGGTGGGTGGATGGATGGATCGGTGGGTGGGTGGGTGGATGGAGGGATAGATGAAAGGATGGATGGAAAGATGGATAGATGGATTAATGGATGGATGGATGGATGGAGGGAGGGAGGGAGGAATGGATGAATGGATGGAGGGATGGATGGACGGACAGATAGATAAAGATAAAACAAATAAAGATAGATTGATAGAAAAAAATATAGATAGAAAAAATATAGATAGAGATATGCACATCCAGACAAAGAAACACAAATACAGATAAATAAACACACAAAAAAAATAAAACATTATATATCAGCGTCAGTAAAAGACGCTCTACATCAGACAAGAGCGAGACGAGAGACAAGTCAAAAATCTACCTGTGGAAGTAATCATGACCGTCGGAGTGTCTCTGTGAGTCCGGATTGAAGTTGAAGACAATCCTACGCTTGTATCCTTGACTCAGGAGGTCGGTGCAGTCCCTGATGTCACTGCTGTAGCCGGAAATATTTAAAAAAAGAGGACTTCACAGGATGGAATTGGTAAATGGTTATGGTATGGGCGGTCATCGTTTACCGGGAAAGGCTATGATAAGCAGAGATTATGGATGAAGTTAGTATGTTTCGAAAGATGGGAGAATTGCCTATGGAATTTATGGTCAGATTACTTGGTTGATATATATATATTTTTTCATAATTTTTCCCCCCCACCGCCATCTGAATGTAGTTTAATGTATGTTAGATTTAACTAGGCGTCTATCATTCTGCATTAACGTATTATACATTCAGTTTACTACTTCGGGGCGCCGTGTCCTTGCACGCTACACCCGGAGGTCACGAGAGAGAGGTAGTGCTCAAGTGATTCATTCTTCCGTCTCGGATAGATAGATTCGAAAAGCTAAAAGCCAGCAGAGCTCCAACGCAATCATTATTCCACAACAGAGGAGCAGAGTTCATACACAAGCATTCAGTGGAAGGCCTCGTTCTTTCCTCAGAGAACAAAATGCAGTTAATATTGCATGAGGATATGCTTCTACGGGAGAATCAGAACGGAAGAAGCTCAGAGCGAAGGGCGCGACATCGGACTATCGCAAGTGGAGCTACAGCCGTAGTCCATTGTGACGGAACTATGAACTGGAGGGATGCCTGTGAGAGATTTATATGAAATCATTTTCAGGAGAGTTTAACGCAGGAGCAGAGTTATGTAGGGAGCTGCACTGGCAACACTCACACCTCCGAGGCAGTCGGTTTTTGGTCGTTTGCACTCCGTCCCAATCGCCCCGCACTCCCCTGGTCCGACAACCCTTGGGATTGCTGGCGCTTGGGACTCATCCTCGACTGGCTCTCGGGCTGAGCCATGTCATGCGGGGTGTCCTCATGAGAAGCGGACTGGCGATAGCCTTTTATCTTGCCTCTCCGGGCCTGGGCTGACTGGGGCCTTGAAGCCACTTTGGAGACTTGGCGATGGCTTTGTACCAAAGCTCTCTGGAGAGGGTCATTATACCTATACTTGTAGCGATATTTGAACCTGTGTCCCCTTCCGCCTTGTAATGTGTGTATTTCCGGCTCTGCATCAGGATGTACACGATTGTGTCTGTTCCTGACCTTCTTTAGTCTGGAATTAAGATCTTTTAGGAAAACTCTGCTTGGCTGACTGGCCTACTCACGTGTCAACACCTCAACTGATAGCGCAATAAAATGCCAGCAAAAATATGTGACTGGTTTGGTCGTGTTTAGTTATAACTGTAGTCTTAAAGTAACTTTGAAAACAATTCTAACTAATTTCTAAGTCATTGTAGCTAATATTGAAGTGTTAGCTCAAGTTCCTCCTCAATGTAAGAAATTAAAGTAACCCTAATCAGTCAAATGGAAAACACTCCAAAGTCGATCGACTAACCTCGTCGTGGGAAAGACTGGGATGGACGGTTTGGAGGGCACAGGGGTGGTGGGGTAGGAGGGGGAGCGGGGGGCGGCAGGGGGGTTGTAGGGCGGCCTGCCACCGCTGCCGCCACCGCCGCCGCCGCCGTTACCGCAGTACTGGAGAATGAGGCCACGGGTCTCGTCGAAGCGCTCCTGGATGATGACTCGCTGGGCGTGGAACTGGTTCTTTATCTCCGACAGCAACTGCTCGCCCATATATGCTGTGTTACCCACAGCCTGGAGGAGGATAGGGTGACCAGAAATTGAAATGTGATGGAACCTTGCTCCCTTTGTCATGCCACTCTTCCAAATACGGTCTATCAGGTTAATAAAAAAGGAAGAACGCGTCCTAATATGCACCTGCTAAGCTGAAATATTCCACAAACAGTGAACTCCATGACCAAACCTTACCTGCGAAACCTTCTCAATGTTGGCTGCCTGATCATTGACAGCCACACGCGTCTCCAGCATCTCCTCCCGCAGAGCCTCGTCCAGGGGCATGAGCTTCTTCTGCAGCACGCCGCCCACTTCTGCTGCGTAGCCTTCCATGCTGAAGCTGGTGTTGCACGATCTGCAAGGACCACTCAAACATGTATGATATATCCAAACTTTCTGACCTGCAAACTTACTTGTATGACAAACTGTATAAAATTCTCGCAAGTATGATGACAGAGATTTAATTTCATCTGTTCAATCGAACGGATACTAACTTCTGAACAGCGGCAAGTTGATTTTCAAAGACTCTGATCTTCCTGTTCATTTTCTTGAAAGGCGAGAACATACTCTTCCAGAATCTTGCAAAGAGGTGTTCGGGCGAGGCCTCACCCTCACCGGCACCCGAGCCTCCGTTGGAGCCGCTGCTCTGGCTGTTCAGCGACGACGGTCTCGGCATGTGACCTGTGAGGTAAAGTTCTTACAAAATTAGTTGCTTTGTTTTGTTCCGTTTTGTTGAGAAACAAAAACAAAAAAAGAGGTGAAAGAAGAAACAAGTTTTGCAACCCAAGGAATATCATAAATCTCCTATATACGCCCCTGCACAATGAAACTTGGCAAGTGTGTGTTCCAATATCCCGGAGAAAAACTTACTGACGAAATAATCATAGTCATAATCTGGATCAGTGATGCGGTCAAACAGCAGGTCAACTTTAGCGCTCACGTCCTGTAGTCTCCTCGAGTCCCTTGGATGCAACTGGCATGTATTGGCATCTGCAACCAAATGAGAACGTGCACCTTAGGACCTCTTCATACCATTTATTTTTTCGTAACTGGTAAAACCTAATCATTTTCATATGAAGAGTAAATCTCAAGAGCAAACCGGCCGCACGAGATGGTGGGAGGACGCAACTCAGTGCTGTGAATAAGGCATAAGGCTTATATATAAGAGAGAGGTGTTCTGACCGTCGCCGTTGGTGAAGTGGATCCCTGGCTCGGGTTCCACCGTGGGGCGCAGCTGCCGGAACCGCGACCCATACACCTGCTGGGGATAAATGGAGGTGTCACGCTCGGCCGGGAACTCGAATGCAATGAAATAATCGAGGCTGTTATAGTCAAGTGACATGCCAGACACACAAAGTCGAGAAAGTACCCTAGGCCTTTTGAAGGAGGAGAAGACTCCGCCGCCTCCACTGCCTGCGCTATACCCTCCACCACTGCCGCCGCCGTTGCCGCCGTTGCCGCCGTTGCCGCCGCCCATGCTCGGTAGCTTGCTGGATATATTTTCAAGCTTGGACTCGATCTGCACAAGCGAACTGAGCAGGCCGCGCCCCGCAAATTCTGTGATGATCGGTTGCTCCGGCGCCGCCATCTGCTTCTTCACCCAGTTGACTTTAGAATTCACCTGCGGAAAGTGGAAACCAGCTCACAAAGACGATTCTAAGGAGTTTTGCCTCGAAACCTAACTTGCGACCGTGTTAGGGCAATCACTTTTAAATACAGGATGGTATAACCCCTAAAATAAAATAAAAGGGAAACAGGTATGCATACAAACAGACAAAAAAATGAAAAAGAAACGAAGAGACGAAGACAAAGACGATTCTAAGGAGTTTTGCCTCGAAATCCTAACTTACGACCGTGCTAGGGCAGTTACTGTTAAACACAGGATGGTACAACTCCTAAAATAAAATAAAAGGGAAACGGGTATGCATACAAACAGACCAAAAAAGAAAAAAAAGAAAATGACAAAGAGAAAGAGAGCACCTACTTCTTCTACCCTTTCGGACACTTGCTCCACCTTGAACTCGAGTCGCGTCATGGCGTTGATTTTCTTGTCGAGCGCCGTGAGCTTGTGGTTGAGAGCGTCCACGGCGTTCAGCTTTACTTCCCAGGTATCTTGCTTCTCGTGACACCTGAGGGGATAAAAAAGTCGAAATGTTAAGCTCACTTATATATATATATATATATATATATATATATATATATATATATATATATATATATATATATATATATATATATATATGTGTGTGTGTGTGTGTGTGTGTGTGTGTGTGTGTTTGTGTTTACATATGTATACATACACACATAAATAATCATGTATATTATATATACGTTTATATATATATATATATATATATATATATATATATATATATATATATATGTATACATATATATATATGTGTGTGTGTGTGTGTGTGTGTGTGTGTGTGTGTGTGTGTGTGTGTGTGTGTGTGTGTGAGTGTGTGTGTGTGTGTGTGTGTGTGTGTGTGTGTGTGTGTGTGTGTGTGTGTGCGTGTGTGTGTGTGTGTGTGTGTGAGTGTGTGTGTGTGTGTGTGTGTGTGTGTGTGTGTGAGTGTGTGTGTGTGTGTGTGTGTGTGTGTGTGTGTGTGTGTGTGTGTGTGTGTGTGTGTGTGTGTGTGTGCGTGTGTGTGTGTGTTAAAATATATAGATTTTTCGCTTCTTTTTTTCTTCTTTCTTCTTTCTTTCTCTTTTCTTTTTATTTTTATTTCTCTCTAAGTATATGCTATACATTAAAGAAAGGGAGGGAGAGAGAGAGAGAGAGAGAGAGAGAGAGAGAGAGAGAGAGAGAGAGAGAGAGAGAGAGAGAGAGAGAGAGAGAGAGAGAGAGAGAGAGAGAGAGAGAGAGAGAGAGAGAGAGAAGAGAGAGAGAAGAGAGAGAGAGAGAGAGAGAGAGAGAGAGAGAGAGAGAGAGAGAGAGAGAGAGAGAGAGAGAGAGAGAGAGAGAGAGAGAGAGAGAGAGAGAGTCAGTCAGAGAAGTCAGAGAAGATGGATTCATAGTAATTATCGCCTTATCGTTTTGAAATGTTTACCACTGATATATAACGGCAACAGTCTGACAACACGAGCATTATTAAGTCTCAAATAATCATAAATCAAACACTAAAAGGAAATTCTGATCTTAAAACCCAATCTGAAAATATGGACGTGGAATCAATATAGATCTTCGTTCCTCCTCTTGCATTGACTTTTAAAAAATAATTATTAATGAAATGAAGACGAGAGAGAAAGAGAAATATCACAAACTAATGAAAAGTTCTTTAATTAAAGGCACTCATTGTGTAGCAAGTGCCCAGTGCTAAATTGATTTAAGATATGCAGTCATAAAAATACATGGTAATATGCCCACGCAACAAATCGCTAACATGATTATTTGTTCAATGAATTTTTGTTCTTGCTTGTGATGTAGCGTAGGCAACATGTGGGATATTATATCATCATTTCTTGTATAGTTTCGAGATCTTTTTAGTCACTGGTAAACAAAAGTCGACAGACGTTCACATCCAGATTAATAAAGCTTGTCGGTTCCCAGTTTGAATGAGTGCCACTTGTATATTTACATAATTTTCCTTGCTGTCAGATTGTTCTCTGGTCATCTGTTGTCGGGAACGATGTCTTTTTTTATGTGGATTTGAATTTCTTTTTAGAAATTCTGGAATGTCCTTGTAGAGTTTAAATTAAAGCGTCTCTGTCTGTTCGATTTGCACCGATAAGAAGGACCCAGACTGACCATGGCAATTAAAAGCGAAAATCAAAGTAGCACCGAAGACTATAATTTGACAGCTGTTGTTTTATATGCAAGACTTCCACTTAACATGTTTACACGAGAGAGACTTCGGCTACTCTCTGATTAGTCAAACCACGGGTCGTGTGCTTGTCTGGGCGTAGTGCTATCCAACCGCAGCTGACAAAAATGAACTAACATCATTTCACGGGGTCATAATAATCTTTATAGTGCTTACCGTCAGAGCCAATGGCTTTATCTTAATGGTTTATTGTCCTAGTTAGTTGATTTAATTGCTATCACTGTCTTTCTGCTAAGACAATAGTAACTTCCATTCGGGTTGATCGATCAGTTGCTCGTCAAACGCTGTCCTAACCTTCTGTAGCGTATTTATGCAAGCCAGTTTGTGATCCAGATACACGACTGGAGCGTCGACGTCTGGTCAGTGGTACCGCTATATCAACTAATCAAACACAAACAAAACTGATCTGTCTACGATGCGAGGTGGCTGCTGAGTCAGTTGCCATAAAGAAATTCACTAGCACCGACTCAGTCTTTGCACCGAGAATTAAGCTGAAGTCCAGCCTAAAAGATGGAATTTACCTGAATCCTAAACCCTAAACTATCATTTATAATCATGATAGATCGTCATGATTAAGATTTAAAAAGATGTCTTATCAACACAGAAATGTCTTCTATGAAGTCAGTAAGCAAAGTATTGTCGAAAAAGTTACAGTGACTTGCACAAAAGAACACAAGGAAAATTCACTTAAAGGTTGAGAAACAAATCAAACTTTAGACAATTTTACAAAAGGGCAGATCAACTTATACACTCTAATCATTCAAACCTGGCCATACAATTAACGGTTACGCGTGCATAACGTTTATAATAAACTTTAATGATACAGTAAAGGCGAAGCGAAGGACATCCCGACAGTAACTGATCGTGGGCACTACAAATAAAAAATCTCGGACACACGGCACATATTCTAAACTATGGTGCCATCTGTATTTTAACTGCCCTTGCCAGGCGATGTCACATCTCTTCTATATTGCTTAAATAAAAGAAAACTGAATTGATGGTCCTTTATTATCATTTTAATCACGCAATTTAAATCTATTTAGTAATTTATATTCAGACATCGTATTTTTTTCTCATTGCATCCCATTGCATACGTAATGAAGAACCAAATGCAAACAGCATGGTCACGATACTTTAATGTTTTTTTTAGTATATGTATCAAGAAATAACAACTAATATTTAGATAGTACCAAAAGGCTAGGTGAATGTTTCTGTGGTACTGATGAAATTGCCTTGATCTGAAATGAAAACCTATTCATAAAATACACAATTATACGAGGATGATTGGTGCTTCACTTGTATTAAATAAATATTTTGTAAATGATACACATTTACGAAACATCATTTACGCTGACTAACATTTGGCACGGCCTTTGACTTTCGATCATTTTATTCATAAAACACTGACGTCATAAGCTCATATTTTACGCTAAGGGACGCTAGACGAGAAACAAGAAAAAAGGAGAAGGAAGGGAAAAAAGAGAAAGAAAGAAAGAAAGTAATAAATAAATAAATAAATGAATAAATAAATAAATAGATAGATAAATAAATAACAACAACAGGCGAAGAAAGTGTGGCAAACCTGTTGAGCAGATCCAGCTTCCGCTCCATCGTGCGGAAGGGAAAAGAGAGAGAGAAAAACAGAAAGTAATAAATAAATAAATAAATAAATAAATAAATAAATAAATAGATAAATAAATAACAACAACAGGCGATGGAAATGTGGCAAACCTGTTGAGCAGATCCAACTTCCGCTCCATCGTGCGCGACTGGTCCGTCCACACAGTCATGTGGTTTTGGATGTTGTCCCAGGCGGCAGCGCGGTCGCCGATGCTCCTGACGGCCGATTCCAGAGCCGCGATCTTGGCTGTGCTGCTCGATAGTTCTCGCTCCAGCTTGTTAATGTATAGGGTGTTGAACCTCTCCAGCTGACCTGTAGGAGAGACGATGAGATTGGTGTAATTTTACCATTCTGGATAAATTGGGACGCAATACACTGATAATGGACAATGATGTGGTCTTCTTAGCTTAGATATTATTTATATCTAGATACTCTAATTTGAGCAGTCATCGGAATATATATACTGATGAGTCTCCAAACAACGTACGGATGAAATTATATCACACAGGAAAGATCTCACGTGTGTTTAATTATGCATTTGTTACTTGCGGCTTATGATCGTACTAAAGGGTGCAGGTAAACATACGAGCCATGGAAAGAACGGTCCAGAACACATTCAAATGTAAACACAGCGGTTTATATTATACTTCGGTGTATCGTGAGAGGGTCCCATTCGTGATATTTCTGAATCTCTTAGGTAATTTTTACGCATACAGTCACATATTCGATCCTCTGTTAAGAGGTTTAACCCCTTTACACGCATGGCTTAACCCAAAGAAAACTCTTGAAGCAAAGAAATGATTGCATTCGAGCTCGAGTGGTAAATGCCTGCCGAGGAATTTACTTCATTACTTATTGTTTCTAAGCTAGATTGTTTTTTTTTCGTATTTTTCAATTATGCATAGTTCCAAATATTACAAACCATTACTGGAATTGTCCGACAACAATATTTAGTCCTTGCTAGGTGCTAACCGACGCAAACAGGGAAATGTCACCTTACTTACTTCAAGTTTCCCCCTATTATGGTTCGTCAGTGCCAATGTACAGATCTCCTCCATGCTTCCCTCACCAGTTTTGTTTATCTATATCTGTTTACCTGCCAGGGTGTCCTCTCTGCTCTCTGTCAGTGTTTACATCCATTGCAATAACTGTTTACTTAAAGAGTGATATTATAGTCTTTTCCAGCGGTCTGTCACCATCACCAATACGCCCCAGACAGCGATAACAGACGGTGCTTATCGCCAGAAACGAACAAGCGACGAGGACGAATTCAACCATCCCAGCGAATACACCACAAGATAAACAGAACCGATACACTCCGACCGAAATAGACCCATTGCATCTCGACGCCAATAGAGCCTAATATCTCCGAGGGAAAGAGCTAGCATGGCGCATCTCGCTTCTCCAATTCAGCCTCCATCCCCAACTTGATCTGCATCGCCACCAGCTTCGCCCGCGTCACGTGATCCTCCTCCTCCTCCTCCGCAAGCTTCTCCTTCATCAACTCCGTCGTTAGTCGTTGGTTGTTTGTTGCAGTTATTCCTTTTTCTATTTTTTTTGTTTTGTTTAGATATTATTGGAATTCGGGTAGCAGCAAGAAAACGCTTTATTTTGATTGGTTTTATGGGTTTATTTGTGACTATTTACTATGTTGTTAATTTTCGACTGGAAAAATCAATGTCACTTTGCAATAATATTATACAGCTAAGTTCTCTGTGTATTAGGGCTCAGAAAAAAATGTGATGGAAAATTTATAAATGTTGACATGGTGCCTTGAACAATAATATCATGAGCTGAAGTTTGTTTATTCTGATATCGATATATACAAACTGAAATTTTGATTGTAATTCACACGACAGATTTGTCCTTGAAGTCAGTCATACGTGATGATATACATTGAATCCTCATGACGTTTGTGACGTGATAACTAATGTTTTTTTTTTCAATACAACGATCTATAAGGCAGTTTAATATCCCCCATTAACATTTAAGTCAATTATATCAAACCGTATCGAGATGGACGTTGCAAATTGACACGAACCGCCAACTTGCCCCAGAGGAATGAATGCAATAACATAATCTGCTACGACGTAAAGAAACATCAATCTCAGGTGTTACTGTTTATGTCCACTTAAGTGTGGACACCCCCACCCCCCACCCAATCGCCACATCAGCTTCGAGTAATCAGCAGTGTGTTCTTTAAAAAAAAGGCAATTTTACGGCAAGCTTGATTAAGAATCGTGCCTAGGGATACGGACTTGGTTTCGTGGTGTTGTGTTTAGACACGCATCGTGAGCTATGGGGACATGTACGGCGGTGTTGTGAAACGGTTTGTAACATTGTCAACCGTGTCGCCCTTCCTTTGCAGCTCTGGGGTTTATTTGATTTCCCCCTGCCTCCTTCCCCTTGTCTCCATTACTCTTTTCCTTTTCACTCGTCCCTCTCTCTCCTTCGTCCCTCTTTCTTTCTCTCCCTCGTTCTTTTTTTTAGTCTCTCTCTCTCTCTCTCTCTCTCTCTCTGTAAAATTGTTTGTTGCCCACTGGACGAAACAAATTTATCAAATCAAATAAAATCTCTCACTCTCGCTCGCTCTCTCTCTCTCTCTCTCTCTCTCTCTCTCTCTCTCTCTCTCTCTCTCTCTCTCTCTCTCTCTCTCTCTCTCTCTCTCTCTCTCGTTATTTTTTATTATTAAGACACTGGATAATTTCTATTTCTACCAGTTTCATTGATAATTATGACCATTATTATTGTTGTTAGCATGTATCATTATCATTAAAATACAGTCCTGCAGTGCATCCTAACAAACGTGGGTTGTAAGATCCGTAGATTTATTAAACATTTACTTATTTCTCTTTATTTTTTCCTTTACAATGGCACACTGCAGTTTCTACTATATACTGTGCTTCTATTTTGCCTTGGACATGACTTTTTTCTGTTATAATTAAACTGCAGTACTATTGCCAAAATCCTATATATATCATCTTAGGTGGGGCCCTTGTATTGAAAATATACAGAAAGGACTTTACACGTCATCTGAATCCTGCTGTGTATGCTTTTATTTTTGATAGAAGCATCTTCAGCGTGAAAGGAAAATCATTCTCTTTGTGTATAAAAATTCGCAAGGACTATTAAATCAGCTTCAAGGACTGATCATCATAATTCGCAAATCAAGGCTATTTTAGACATTTTACGAAGGTCATGGAACCGAATTCTACGTGATCTTATTTTATTTTACAGGTTTGCTCTTTGGAGGGAAAGATATCTTAATATGGTTTCTAAACAGATACTTTCCTTCAGGAGTCAAATACTATTCTGACGTGTAAAATATATATTTTTTTTACATTACACACCAGGATATTCCAATGACTGCTGTGAGTTATGATAGCCAGTTGCATTATTTTTTCATGTGCATTTTTTTTTTTATAATTTGTCCATTGATCTGCATTTTAGCTCTTCCTGTTTGGTCAGCTGAAAGAATTCATTCGCCTCTATTCTTAGAAAAACAAACCAAGTGCATAAGTTTGGACCGCGGAGGCAATGGCGAATTAAGGAATCGAATACTTACATGACGAATGGCGGTGCAGTCTCTCTGTCGAATGGCGGCAACATTCTGGCAGTTCTTTGACCCACCATAAGTAAAAACTGGGATGGCACCTTTTACCCGCCGACGCAAAATATAAATCACTTAAAGGATAAAGTTTCACGGCGAAAAACATGTCAGCGGCGGCCGCGGTCACGCCCTCGCCTGTTTCTTGACCCGGATGTGTCAGCCCGAGGCCCTGCGTCCTCAGTCACGACGTCCACCGTATCTTTATAACTATAAACAGTTAGACATGCCGGTCTCCGGTGACACGGAGCGAGTCTCCCGCGCCGCCCCTCCAGCGGGTGGGAGCGGCCTCCGGCAGCTACCCTAAACCCACCGTCTCTGGTTATATCATCAAGAAAATTGCGGCCAGAAAGGCTCATAAACGTCTCTTGAGAAGGTAACGCGGAGGGACTCTGCCATGATGGGTTGTGAGCCTTACGTCAGGAGCCATCTATAGAGGCCTCGCCCTCGCTCCCTCGCCGCCGGCCACCCGCCCCTGGCACCGCCGAAACTCCTGCTGCGGTTTCGGCGCGAGCGGCGCGGCGGGCGGGGCAGCGCCAGCGACAAACAGCTTTATTTCATGACATATTTTTAGCACATGATATACAATTAATGATATACTGTCTTCCCATGAGATGCATACCAGTAGCTGCACACTATACATTAAATTATTTTTTCATCGTCATATATATATATATATATATATATATATATATATATATATATATATATATATATATATATATATATATATATATATATACATATATATACATACATATATATATATATATATATATATATATATATATATATATATATATATATATATATATATATATATATGTATATAAACACACACACACACACACACATAAATGGATTAATATACATTTGAAATTTCATATTAATTTAGTTCGTTAGCGCGATTAAGTATATCCTTTTGTGCCCCAGCGTGTACCCATACGTGACTATGTTTGTGTATGCGTGGTCGTACATGTATATGTCCGTACACGTATGGGTCTCTGTATGGGTCTATTTACATGTACCCTTAAGTACATGTGCCCATAATTCGAGACCTAAAACCCGCCTGGCAAGCGACATGACCTAACCGCAACGGCAGAAGAGAACGTTTGTTGACAATGTCAGTCATTAGGATAACGACCCTTTAATCCCGGACGAGCGCGCGGTGACGTCACTAACGGCGAACCTGACATTCTCATGTTGACGATAAAAAAAGTCTTCAGTTTGCGAATACGTCACTAACAACAAAACACACTCCAAAAGACGTCTCTTCTGTCGTCTTGCTTAAACCACGTGGCGCCATTTGTCGAACCATCGATCATCATCGGCTTCACTTCGGCGGAAGAAACGTGTGAAATGGCAGATGCCGGAGGACGACGGGACGCAGACACACACCATACATATATTGAAGTATATCAGCATATCAATATCAATATATATATATGTAAATATATATATATATATATATATAAATATATATATATATATATATATATATATATATATATATATATATATATATAAATATATATATATATATATATATATATATATATATATATATATATATATATATATATATATATATATATATATATATATATATGCATGTGTGTGTGTGTGTGTGTGTGTGTACGATTCTGCCAAGAACGCTGTCTTTCACTGTTTTTGAATGTATATAGATATCTTTAACGTATATGTG